TTCCTCAAGTTAAGATTTGTCATGTTTAGACTGTGTCGTTGGTTTGATTGTACAGTTGCTCGCGTGCTGCTTTTCTTTCCGTCTTGCGCTTTACTTTTCACTTCATTTTTTTTTCGGTTGTAATTTACGCAAGTTTATTGTCGCGGTCGTTTATTTCTGCAATTTTTTGGGATTTGTAATTTACGCGAGTGATCGTCGTGACGCTTTCTTTACCGCTTTATGTATTTTTCCGCACTTTACTTCTGTCGTATAATAATTTGTCATATCTTGCATGTTTGACCCTTAATCACCCTCCGAAGGAATTAGGTCTAGCCGTTTGACCGCCGAGTCAATAATCTTATCCTTTTGGACCGTTTCAAATCCTAATTAGCCTAGGTGTCCCGCCGTGGACGAAAATGCCCTTTACCCTAGCCTTAGGTCAAAGAGTCGTCGTACTCTGTTTTAGGGTTTCCCGTCGTGGAACATGTAGTCAACCCTAATTTCAATTCAACATTTCAACGTAGAAATAAGGGTTTCAAGACTCCACGTAAGCGTTTCCTTAAGAACGTTTACTCCCCTTGAAACCTTGACCATATTCAAGATGTTTCTAACCTCCCTTTCGAGGGGAACTACAATTAATCTGATTCCATTCCCGTCAGGATATGTAGGCACAAGATGAGAATCTTGCCGAGTAAACTTAGGACTAACCCTTAGGTCTTTTAGGTCACTCTATCCCTTAGCTCAATATATATTCAAGCAGATGATAAAATAAAATAGCAACAATAAAAAAAAGGTTCCTGTAGAGTATTACAGAAGTTTAGGGTGCTAGTACCTTCCCTAAGTTTAATCAACCCCTTACCTAGGTCTCTCCCCGCATTGTGTTTACGATGCAAAAATAGGTTTTTCCTCTTTTGACCTTTTCCTTCGGATAAATCAAAGAGCGGTTGTGAATTAAAAATTGTGATTCAAACTAATTAATAGTTTGATATCCTATTTCCACCGCAACAGATAGCATCAAAATAAGGTAGTTATGGAACGAAGTTGGGGAGTTTTCAAGATCTTTGGATATAACAAGGGCTCAGACAAGAAACCTATAGGATCGAGTAAAGATTATTGCAAAACAAACGTTTGGAGCGAAACTTTGTGTCTAGAAATATTCTTGAATCAACATCAAAAGAAGATTTTGTGATCTCAATAGTTTATGCATGTGTTGATTTAAGCATTAATTGGTTTTGACATGTTTAGTGTCATCAGATTATCAGTTGTAACCAAAACTTTGTACATTTGTTTTCAAAATAATGGAAGGCCCTACGATTTTTCAATGGATTGTCATTGAAAAATGGATTAAATACAAAGCAATGCTGGAAGTGTTGAACTAGTATAAACCTAGTGTACAACTCTCTCTCTCTCTCTCTCTCTCTCTCTCTCTCTCTCTCTCTCTCTCACACACACACACACACACACAAATATTCCGCCTGTTAAATACGCATACGTTTTTAAAACTTTGACTTTCGAAGAAAATGGTTTTGATAATTTGGTTTTAGGGGATGGTTCATTCAAACCCTCCTCCCATTATGAACCATTTGAATTTGATATTCTCTAACAAGAACACTTGCATCAATTAGATGTTACTCCCTTAGTTTCTTTTTAAGTATTATTTTTTGATTTTTTACACATATCAAGAAAGCTAATTAATAATGTTACTTTTCATACAATAATTTTTCTTTTACCTATAATACTCCTAATCATTCATTACATTCATTTTACTTTTTCTCTCTCTATAATAGTTATCTAGGGGTAATTTTGACAAAAATACATTTAATACTACCTTAAACTTTGCAAGTGACAATTAAAAAGAAACAAAAAATTATCCAAAAAGTGACACATAAAAAGAAACAGATGAAATAATAATTAATTTCTGAATGGTATTCTAGAGGAGGATCTTTACATGACTCAACCTCTTACATAGGGGTGTGCAAAAAAATCGGTTATTATTAACCAAATTAGTATCTAAATTGTTCCACTTTTAAAAATGCAAACCAAATGCTAAAATATAAATGTGGTTATCCATTTTGTTATCCAAATATAAACCGGTTTTCATAATAATAATGTGGTTTAATTATTGGGTGTCCAAATTTCATTATTTGTTAAATTGATATGTTTGTCTCTTATCATGTTTTATTATATACACGTTATAAACCAATTTTATATTTTGAACTATTTTAAAGTTAATTTTTTTGAATTTTATAAAAAAAATTATTTTACAAAAAATTCAGAATTTTGTTTTTCAAAATGAAAAAAAAAATTGTTTACGAATTTTTTAACTATCTAAAATGGTGTACTAATGTTTCACAAATTATATGGACTTTTAGCAGTTAATTATATATATATTAGTGCATCGAGTTTGATTTGACATGTGCAAGAAAATATATCAAAACTTGATTTGTTGAATTTGACTCTAGTTTTCATTTATAAATCTCGAAGATGATTAGAACTTTATGAAAAAATAATCATAAATATTATAAATTTCTCCACCAATAGATTGAGGTTTTGAAATATACAAATATATGCATTATAACATACTAGTCACCATTTTAAGTTCATATAATTTGCTGAAATTTTTTATTTTAGAATATTTTTTTCAGTTTTTTTTTAAATACTTTTTATTTTTTGATTTTTTTTTAAATTTTTTTTAAAATGTTTTATTTTTTAGATTTTTTTTAATGTTTTTTTTAATTTTCAAAGAAAAATATATTAAAACTTAAATATTTAAATTTAAAAATTAATATGATTTAAAGAAAATAAAATTTAAAATTAACTAAATAAGTTGGATTAAAAACAAAATTCATTTAGAACTGATTTTAAACCGTTCGAAACAAGTGGTTTGGTTTATAAACCATAATCATAAAAATGAATTGGTTTATAAACCATAAATCCATAACTATAAAAATAAATTGTTTCATATTAAATGATTATCTATGCACACTCTTACTCTTACATTTGAGTCATCTAACAAATTCCTAATTTGAAAGCTTGACAAAAAAAAAAAAAATACTATATGGTCTCAAGCAAGCAGCCAGAATTTGGAGTAATTATCAACAATGTGATGATGCTCTTACCAAGGCCCTGACTCCTACAAAGTTTGTTGAATTTCCTAACAAGTTAACTGTGAGAGATTCATGTCTTTGCCCCTCCCCTAGGTTTAGATTGTAAGGGAGTATTAAAACAACTATTATCTCCATACAATTTAGAGTTCTAATCATTTTTATGAAAATAAATATTAAATAATACAAGTTATTTAAACTTTTTTTTATTAAATAAAACAATAATATTGACACCAAGTAATATAAATTTTTATTATTGAAGATTAAAATTTAGTGATTTTTAAAATAATTTTAAATTTTAAAAATTACTTTTATAAAAAAACTATTCATAATAGCTTCAATTTTAGATGATTTTTCTTTTAATTTTGATCTCTAAAATAAATTACAGTAAAATGATAAAATAGTTAAAATAATATTTTATGAAAAATTATTTAAATTAATTTTTAATTTAAAGCTTTTTTAATAAAAAAATGTATAATTTCAAATTATAAGCTGGATGTGATCACAAAAGAGTTTCGAGCCCTAATAATGGTCTTCTCACTCTTAAAAGTTGTCTATTTTAAGAGTCTGCAAAACAAGACTCAAATTCATAATTAAATTTAAATCTATTTAAAATATTCAGATATAATTAAATAATTATTAATTAATTTAGGTACTAATAATCGGTTATTCAGCTATTTTTTATTTTTGGATCAGATTATAATTCGGTTATCCTCCAAAATCTAAATGTTTCAATTTAGTTATAATTCTTTTTTATTTTTCAAAATAAATCATTTTTTTTATTTTACGGGTTTATTTTTCAATTTTTTTATTTGATTTTCAAATTATATATTTTTATTTTTATTTTGGAAAAAACAATTTCTAGAACTTTTTTTCCAAAATATATTTTTTTAATTTTGAGAAAAAAAAATTCCAGATTAAATATTTTGAGAAAAATATTTTTTCGACTTAAGTTTTTTTTTTATATTATAAAAAACAATATGTATTTTTTTGGAAAGAAAATTCCAAAGTTTTTTTTTCAATTTTTTTTTTAATTTTTGAAAGAATATATATATATATATATATATATATATATATATATATATATATATATATATATATATATATATATATATATATATATATATATATATATATATATATATATATATATATATATATATATATATATATATATATATTTGATTTGATTTCCGTTCATATTAAGTTACGTTTGATAACAAATTTAAACTAGAAAGATATTATAAAAGAAAGGTAAAAGTGTAACCTATATATGGACTAAATTAATTCATGAATAGGATGATTGAAATGAAAAAGAAATTAAGTTTAAAAATAAACTTTACGCCATATCAAACTGAAATGGAATATGTCGAATTTAAGAATGCGATAAATAGTTCTAATAACTTGTTATTAATAATGAATTTGAATGATTAAATACACCAATTTATTTATATAGATAAATGAAATAGACTTGTTACTATACAGTTTACTTATTTATATTCTTAATATTTCTTTTTAAAAAGTCAAATCAAATATATAAAACTTAAGAAAATAACAGAATTTTAAATAAAAAATAATCTATTTTTTCAAATTTATAAATAATTAGTTACTAATAATTAATTTGATTTTATGTTGGGGAAGTTAATCATAAAAGCAATCTAATATTATAGAATGTAATTGTTTTCATTACACTTGGATGAGATACATCAAAATTGGAATATAGTTCTGTACAATCTGCTATTACTGTTATTTACATCACTAAAACCAAAAACTTACAAGTAAAAATAACACAAGAATATGCAACAAACTTTAAACTCTCTCTCCATCTATAAAAAGAAGAACCTCAACTTCCCTCTGCAGTCTGCACTGTTTTCTGCAGTGGTCCGATAACTCGGGAAACGGAAAAGTCGTCAGCAATCACATGACAATGTCACCTTCCAACATCTTGAGCACCTATCACATAACACAAAATTATGGATGGATTACTGATCAATCAAACATTCATGCAGTGATGTAATGATTTTATCGAGATACCGAGCACAGAATTATAAACATGTAAATTAGTTTTCCAACCTGAGACACTCGAGGTCTTAAATGAGGATCTCGTCGGATACACATAGAGGAACATTGCATCATGCGATAAACCTCTTGATCATCGTAGCATTTTCCTATGCTCGGATCTACAAGTTTATCAATGGCTTGTTCTTCAAGCAATGGCCGTGCCTATACAAATATTTGAACCACGGAAAATGATGAATAAATAGTTTTAGATGGATCAATGCTTATTTCATAAGGCATCATAGCATACTCTTACCCATTCACTAAGGCATTGCTGGCCCCTCGGCCGGCCGATATCCACAGCTTTCCGACCTGTCACGAGCTCTAGTAATACTATCCCAAATGAATACACGTCCGCTTTTTCAGTAATTTGACCGCTTTGAGCATATTCTGGTGCCAAATACCTATCGAATAACAAGATAACTATCATCGTCACATTCTACAACTATTTGTAACAAAATGAGATGAAGAACAAAATTGGCTTCGTCTAGCTTTACCCGAATGTTCCTATCACCCTTGTTTCTACACCCATATCTCCATCTGGCTGCCACCTAGCAAGTCCGAAATCTCCCACCTAAAATCCATAATTAGAAGTTAGTTGAGACATATACCGATAAACAACCATTTACCAGCAGGGTGGTCTTTGAGGGTGTGCAAGATGTGCTACAACGCAGGACCACAAATTTTTCCGAATAAAATTGTAGTTAAATAGGGTCACATGATGGATCTGTCATGATTAGACCATAGCTAAATAGGGTCTCTATTGCTGTCGCGTTCGAACCACAGCTAACAAACACCGGGCCTCTAAAACTTAAGACGGCCTTGTATATCAGCAATGGCTGCAAATAGAATTTGAAGCGAATAATGTGTGTACATAATCGAATAAGACATACTAATGCTTCAAAATCATGAGTGAGGAGAATATTGTTAGGCCGCAAATCGCGGTGTACAATGCAACCAACTCTACATTCTTCATGAAGATATCTCAAACCACGAGCTGCTCCAACCGCGATTTTCTGACGAGCAGACCAATCAAGCACACTCTGCATCCGACCTGCAAATCCAAATAATCCGTTAAAAAATTTGTCCTGCAAATCTCCATTTACTGTTATGAATGTAGTTTTAAACTATTTAGGATTAAAGGGAGTTTACCATAGAGATGAGAATCCAGCGATCCGTTGCAGATATACTCATAAACTAGCAATCTTCTTCCATCCTCGACACAGAACCCAATTAGCATCACAACATTGCGGTGTTGTGCGCAGCTTAAGACCTCTACTTCTGAGCAAAACTCTTTGTCTCCTTGTGAACTTGCTAATTTATACTGCTTAACGGCAACAACTTGTCCGTCAGGTAAGACACCGCGGTGTACCGAACCAAAACCACCTTCGGCCAAAAAGTTTGCTTGAGAAAAACCACCCGTGGCAAGTTGTAATTCCGCAAATGTAAACCACCTTGGAGGATTCCCAAATACAGGTGCTTTGTGCTGACAAATGGAGCACAACGGAGGAGGTCCGTGAGGTGCATTTCTGGCGAGTGAAATCACTTCTCGAACGCTTTTACTTAAGTTCACATCGATTTTACAAGTAGGCAATCCAAAGATAGGATCTTGATCCAAAATTGTAAGTTTATGAAGCAAAGCTTCATAAGTAGAAACCAAAGCCTTACTATCACTACATCTTTGAACATTGTCCTCGTGTTTTGAAAACTCGCCACCTACACAAATTACATTTGAAATCCATGGCTGAAAAGACGAAGATGAACTTAGCTTTTCACTCTCCGAGTCAGATTCAATATCCTCGAGGTTTGTCAGTCCCTCGTGAACGACAAAGGGAAAACATCTCCTTCGTCTTTCATAATTGTCAGAGTGAAAAAACGGCGATGTTCCAGGATCTGAGCTCGATATCGACGCTGTTCCGATATCAGTTACAGTCAATGGTGGCGACCCTTGTTCAGGACTACTAGCAGGAGTAACTGCTGGACCTTTAATTATATCTGAATGTTCAAAATTGTCTTTCAAATTTCTATACGCATTCGGCTCTAGCGACAGTGAACAATCTCTTCCGAGTTCCTTCTTAGGCGAACTATTCAAATTCAAACGTAGAATCTTCGGGTGAGAATGCTTCATAATTACAATATTGCAATGCAACTCATCCATGCAGTGTTTCTGTTCACCTTTCAATTTTCTACAATCGCGCAAGAAAGCCGTTCGTGTCACGTTACAAATGCATTAAACAAGAACACAACTTATAAGAAATAATCTTATACCTGTCCAATATAACCCAGCTTGACTGAACTCTCTTGGCTTCAGCAGCCACCGCACCGCACAACGAACCCGAAAGAATCTTCACTCTGATCTTTATCTGTGCAAACATTCTATAAACGTTACTTCCAAAAGCCGAATAACAAATCAAAATGCAAAGAAACACAAGCTATTACTTCGAACCTTCTCCGGATCATAAAAATCATGGAGTTGAAGCACTAATTGAGAACATGAATTCGTAATAACTTCTTTCTGATCCGAAACAGTTCCTAATCGCGATGTCCAACTACTCGTAGCACAATCAGTCGTAAATCTCGAAATTCCCCATACCTTCTTCCCTATTAAATACACACAGATTATAATCAATCAACCATAAACCTTCAAAATCATTCAGATCTCAATCAACGTCAACCTTCCCCATTCTACATTTTCTACCTCATTTTCAAATTTTCTTTTTCCTCAAAGTAATCAACATTAGTAAAGAATAACACAGAAAAACACAAAAGCTGCAAAATCAGAAGCATATGAAAACTGTAAACACAAAATTGAACTCAAAGAGAAAGAGAGAGAGTGATGAATACTTGATGAAATTGCAGGAATGATGACCAAAAGCTTAATGCAATCCCCAGGTTGAACAACATGAGTCAAAGCCCAAACCAAAGCAGTTCTTGAAATATCCTTGGAACCTTTCACCGCAACAACAACAACCTTAGAACAAGAACTCATATCTAATGACCCTTTTGTCTATTCATCTCAAGTTTCAAACTTTACACCAAAAATCAACCACTAGAACCCATCTGAAACACTAAATCAACAACCCAGAAGAAAAAACCAAAGATTCAAAAAAAAGTACAAAGATAAAAAAAACAAATAGAAATAGACATGGACACAAAGTTCAAGACACTTTAATCAAAATCAAACAATGTTGCCGTTAAAGAAGAGACAAATAACACAAGAATGAAAGCAACTATAGAGAGACATTAGAAGTGAATAATGACAAACCGAAACTGAGGATGTTGAATGTGTGAAGAAGAAACAGAAATTTTATAATGTTTTAGGGTCTGTTTGGTTCAAATGAGGGGGAGGGGAGGGGAGGGATTTTAATGAAGGGGAGGGGAGGGGAGGGGAGGGGAGGTGAAGGAATTTTTTAATCAAATAAGTGTTTGGTTCAAAAGAGTGGAGGGGAGGGGAAGGGAGGGATTTTAATTAAAAATGTGTTTGGTTCAGAAGGGGAGGGGAGGGGTTTTATTAATAATTTACATTTTTATCCTTATGATTTTATATAAGTCATATGATATTAAAATGTGAAAAATTCGTGCATATTTTTGTTGGTAATAAAATTTCTAATATTGAGTTATTAAAAAAATATTTATTTGTCACATAAAGTTAAAAAATTGAGTACAATCGATTCGACTTATAACTTTCCAACATAAATTAAACTATATGTCAATAACATCGTTTAAATTATGATGAATCATATAACAAAACAAATATATAAAATAACTTATTACTAAATATTAATGGTTCAAAATATTTAATAAAATGAATAAACAAAAATAAATAAAATGATATGGTTTACAATTTGATATAAAAGAAAATATGATAGAGTACATAACAAAATTAAAAGAAAAAAAACGAATATAACGAAACATAATTTTTTTTATAAAAAAAGACAATGATTATGATTTATATTAATTATAAAAGTTATAAAATAATTTGAAGGTGGAGAACAATTATAATAAGTTGATAAAAACAATCGAGAAAAAACAGTAACACAAAAGATAACAAATAGTTTTGAAATAATAAAATTAAACTGAGGATATTTTAGTAAATATAATAATTTTTAAATATCAAAACTCATATTCCCTCCCCTCCCCTCCAAATCCCCCCAATTCGGAGGGAACCAAAAAGTGTGTTTTGGAGGGATTTTGCTCCCCTCCCCTCCCCTCCCCTCCCCTCCTAAAATTTGAACCAAACATATTTAATTAAAAATTTCCCCTCCCCTCCCCTCCCCTCCCCTCCATCTACCCCGAACCAAACACACCCTTAATGTTTTTTTCTTCTGAACAGTTTGTGTACAATGATTGAAAAACTGAATATAAAGAGAAACTAAATTAATTATTTTGAAAATAAATAAATAAACTTTAAGTTAAATTAAAGGTAAATTAAAAAAGGGTCATGTGAAATAAATGATGAAACAATGAAATGAGGAGACAGTTTATGTGTGAATGTGTGTAGAAACAAACCCTTTCCCTAATCCCAAAATTAAATGAAAAGGGTTATAATAATTGATTGATTAAGCAATGAATTTAGAGCCCTTCTAGGAACCCACTAAAGTTATAATCTTTTTTAGTTACCAAAAATCAAGAAAATGATGAGTTGTATAAATATAAAAAAATCTTATTTTTATATAAATATTATTACTATCTCCTTCTCATTATAAATGTATATTTTATAAAAAATTGAATTATTTTTCACTTTAGAATATGATACAAATTTTCTTAAACTCATTTCAATAAGTATCTTGAGGTGATCTTTAAAAACATAAATTAAAAAAAAATTATATATATATATATATATATATATATATATATATATATATATATATATATATATATATATATTTAATGTATTAAAAATTTAAATAATTGGTTTTTTTTAAAAATGTTTTTTCATTTGACATTCGTTGCCATAACCCTAAAAATTTCACTAATTAATATCTTTTTATTTATAGTAAAAGAAAAAAAAAATATTTTAATAATAAAGATATCTAGACTACTAATAAATCAGATATATTAATTATTTAATTAATTAAATTATAATTTTAATCTTCTAATTTTGTTGGATTTCCAAAATTAATCTTCTTATTTTAAATTCAAACCGTTTTGATTTCTCTATTTTAAATTCAAACATTTCTTCTTTTTTCATAGAGATGCGATTTTTACAAAGTTTAATAATATATTTATATACGATAATTTATCATATTTTATAAGTAATTTATTATTAAAAAAAAATCTCGTTAATGTTAATTGTAAAAGTATCAGAAATGATCAAAATTGTTTGTATTTAAAATATAAAAAAATATTTAAATTTAAAATAGAATAACCATTTTTATGAATTACGTAAACTAGAGGATCAAAATTATAATTATATCAAAAATTTTAAAAATTTAATTTTTATTAAATATTAATATAAAATTAGTAAATATCTTTCTTTACTACCTAAAAATTAGTATAAACAATTCTTTAGGATATATACATTCCATCAAAAAAAAATGAATATGAGTGGAGGAGTATCAAATGTATGGCTTGAGCATAGGGAAATGGATATTAAAAGTAGCAAATAGCAAATACTCTATACTATAAGCAAGTGACAACTTTGATTCAACTTGAAAATCACTCTCACAATCCTCAAAAAATGTGTGGCATTAATGACATGACATGTGAACTTTATAACTACATCTCTATTTTAATCCCCATTCAACATATGGCATAAGAAATAATGGAAGATGTGTTGAAAAAATTTCCAAATTTGGAGTAATTATCAAACGGTGGAAACTTTTCCATAGTAGATACAAATAGAATGGCCAAAAAAATTGACAATTGAATTGACTAAGAACTAACTAATTTTACTTTTTTGGTTGATGTAATGAGCCAACATAAGAGTGCGAAATTGGTGGCTGAAAGTGAGGGTTTAAGCTCATATATTATTGTGGATTGATGGTTGTATTAAATTTTATATTTTTATTTAAGAAAACTTATATTCTGCATGAATAAATATAAGAAAATAAAAGTATTATTGAAGTGAATGTGAAAGGTTTATCCAAGAGCATTTAGATGATAGAGAATTTCTTTCAACTTAATTAAGAAATTTGAGTTCAAAACTCAGTTCTAAACTTATTTTCGATTTAAGAGATTAATTTTTGCAATTGCATTTAAAGAATACTCAAATTCAAAAAAAATTGGAAGATATCTTAGAATTCTTTTTTTTATTATATTTTTTTAATTAGTCGATGTTGGAATTAACTCAAAACTTAGAGAGTTCCAAATCAATCTTGATGAACAAGATTCAATCAACCTGATTGAAATTTCTTGTTCTTTACTCTTCAATTAAGTTAAACAATCACACCTTGATTGAAAAAATGATTATGCACAGTAATTGTTAATGGAAGAAGAAAGAAAGAAGATTATGGTTTAACAAAATAAAGGAAGAGGAGAATGATTTCTGCAGAGTAACTCTCTGCTCTCAAACTGAAGAAAAAAAATATTATTCAACTGTGCAACTGCACTTTCTGTTGTGTGTTACAATAGTATTCTCTATTCTTCTTACTTAAAATAAAGTTGCTCCCTCTATCTATAATTGAGCTACCTTACTCCCTAAAATAAAACCCAAAAACACAAAACCCCAAAAATTTTATTTTGGTCTAAGTTAAAATTATGTGTCAAGCAACCTGCTTCGACACTTCGACATCTAACACAACTCAACACACACACTAAGCTAATTTTGACACATCATTGTTTATGTCGAGATACACTTGCTTCGACACAAGGAATTACAATCTCAATACACCACCTAATTCATTGTGTCTAAGCTATTTATATTCATCATAGACCTTAACTTCTTGAACACTTCAACTTGCACTCCTTTCGTCATGATATCTGCAATCTAATTCTCAGTTCTGCAGTGTTCCAAGTTCATCTTCCCTTCTGCTACCTGCTCTCGAAGATAATGGAACCTCATTTTGATGTTCTTGATTCGCCCATGTGCTATCAGATTCTCCGCCATGTTAATAGCTGACATGATGTCGATCTTCATGGTAATTGCTCCATGACTCTTCGCTGAAATTTCTTCGACCAGGTTCACTGTCCACTTTGCTTGACATGCACAGAGAGAAGCAGCTATGTACTTTGCTTCGCACAAGAACAATGTCACTACTTGATCCTTTCTTGAACTCCAAGCAACTGGTGCACTACCTAGCATAAACACATAGCCCGCTGTGGAATTTCTATCCTCAGCATCATTACACCAACTTGAGTCAGTGTATCCCACTAACTTGTATTCCTTTCCTTTATCAGCTCCAGGAAACAAAATATTGTAGTCGAGAGTTCCATTCAAATACCTTAGTATCCTCTTCGTCACTGCTAGGTGTGATACCTCTGACTTATGCATGAATCTACTAACCATACCCACATTGTATGCTAGATCAGGCCTTGTGTGACAAAGGTATCGAAGTAACCCAATAAGTCTTCTATATTGGGTTAGATCGATAACATCTGAATCTGAATCTTTTGACAGTTGTAGTCTTGGCTCAGCTATAGTCGAAGTTGGGTTGCAATCTTGCATCTCAAATCTCTTGAGTATTTCACCTGCATATTTTCTTTTATGCATCATCAAACCTCTACCACTCTTGTAGAATTTGATGTCAAGGAAATATGAGAGATTTCCCAAGTCTGATATTTCAAACTCCTCACTTAGGTAATGTTTGAAGGCTTTGATCTCCTTTTTGTAACTTCCTATTATCAACAGGTCATCGACATAAACACATAGTATAAGTAATTCACTATTGTTTCTCCTTACATATACTCCATGCTCAGTTGTGCACTTAACAAACTCCTTCTCCCTTAGAAAGCTGTCTAGATTCTTATTCCAAGCTCTTGGAGCTTGCTTAAGTCCATATAGGACTTTATGCAGCCTTTACACCTTTCTTTCTTCACCTTGTTTCACAA